TTGAAATACCAATGTCTTCAACTGCCGTTTTTTCACCTCTTTATACGTGAATTTGAAAAATAATTTATGTATTGATTTACATACGTAAATAATTAATAGTTAACATAAATATACCCCTCCAGATATTCTAAATATTCATCAATTCATCATTATTCAAATAATCTTCGTTTTGTTCCAGTTCACCACTACGGGAAAATATTACATTGGTTTTATGTACTAAGTTTTTACCTGATTCCAGTAGCATTCGAGTTTAATTAACCGAAACAGCACTGGATAGAAACTGGAGTAATTTAAAAAGACACTGGTTCCAGTTAATAGTAATTGGATTGGCAGTCTACGAGTACCTTTTAATTCAATGTTCTATTCCGAGTATTTTTTTGTATATTCCAGCGCGAGTTTGTATGGTTATTGGACTGGAGAGCTACTGGAATAATGTAAACCTGTTATTATTTGGTTACTTTTCCGGTTCCGGTTTCAAGGCTGCACTTCGACTCAGTCTTGTATTTTTCTTTGCTAAGGATATTTCATTTCTTGAAAAGTGCGCTGAACAAACATAGGGCACTTTGGGCAAGTCGCTTTCCCTTACGTTGCATGCCTTTAACCATTTCTCGCGAATATGCGGAATCACAGGTAACTTGAAAAACCTTATTTCCATGCCCTTGCAAATATATTTCGTATTTGTGCATCTAGGAAACATGCAGCTCATTTTGTTTCTATTTTATTTTATTTGCTTGCTAACGTATCAAATATTATTTAGATTCCTAAAGGCAATTAGTTTCTCACAAAATTTATTTTCAAATCAAAATATTTTGTTTATTTTCATAAAAAATTACATAAAAAAAGGATTTTTGGCTCTGAGTATGGTAGCAGGAAATGTCACAATCCACTTAATTGTCAGGTAGTTAATATGGCGACCGAAAATTGACATTGAAACTACCTTCTTTTTTGTACCATGGTTCCATGGTACAATAAACACAGGTAGAAGCCAAATTGACATCAAACCTACAAAGGTCAAATTTTCGGGAGAGTAAAAATCAAAATGAGTGTGTGTAAGGAAAAATAAAAAATTACATTTCGCTGGTTGACGTTTTTGAGTAAATTTGAAGTTTTGTTTTTATTTTTTTTCTTTAGTTAAAATTTGTTAATTTGTATGTTGTTTTCTGTTTTTAATTTATGAGTTGGAGGGACTTTCCGGCATAAGGGTCATAGGAACAGCACTTGGTATCAAAAGTGCCATTCCT